GGACACGCGTACAAACAAAGGGAAGGAGGGGAGCTTTGAGAAATAGTCTTCAAATCAGGGGTAGCCATCTCCCAAAGGAAACAAGGGTAGTCTGTAGGAACAAAGACGGGCTGGCTGCTGTAGAGAAGAGTCCTGGCTCGGGTCCGCTATGTAAATGAGGGGTGTCAACAAATAGCAAACAGTCAGTCCCGATTGGCTGACTGCGGGTCATAACAGGTCAGGTCCTCATGACGAAATAGAACTTTCCAGAGCCTGTTTATCTTGGCAGCTGAGACAGGAACGTACCCAGGCAAGGGCTGCAAGGGCTCAACTTGTGGTTATTCCAGGAATACGGAGCAGAGGCGTGACCCCACCAGGCATCAAATGGTCACCAGGCTCCATGTTGAACCTGGGCCCAGTTAGCCACTTGGGACCCCTCTTGGAAATTCAGTTTTTCTTTCTTTCTTTTTAAGATTTATTTTGGTTGGTTTTTTTTTCTTTTTTTTTAATGCATGTGTATGTGTGCATATGGCCAATGAGCCACTTGAGCACGGGTGCCCACAGAAGCCAGAGAGGGCATCGGACCTTTCGGGGTCATGGTCCATGAACCACCACGTGGGTGCTGAGAACTGAACCTGGATCCTTTGGAACAGCAGTCAGTGCTCCGAACCACCCAGCTGCCTCTCCAGGCCCCAAGCTTGGCTGTCCCCAAGGGCCACAGGCTTTGCAAAGTATTTCCCGGGAGGCGATTGTGTGGTAAGCCTTTCTGTCTAGCAAGGATTCCTGCAGGAATGTGTAAGCTTCTGGGAAGGTGTGAGACCGTGACTTCCCCTCTCTAGGTGCCCTGAGTTATTTGTTGATAGTTGTCTTTCTGTGTTACACTGGCAGCCAGTCCGGTCTGATTTTTGGGGGAAATTCACCCCTCGGTACCATTTTTTCTCACCCTCAAGTCATTTTGATTTTGGTGGCAGAGTCTCCTGGACAGCTGCTGCATTTTTCCCTCCCCTTCCCCCCTCTCCCCTTCCTACATCCTCCTCCCTTCTCCCTCTCCTCCTCCCCCTCCTCTCTCTCCCCTTCTTTCCTCCTCCCCTCCTCCTTCTCCCCTTCTTTCCTCCTTCTTTCTCCCTCTCCTCCTTGTCTCTCTCCTCCTCTGTCTCCTCCTTCTCCCTCTTCTTTCTCCCTCTCCTCCCCTCCTCCCTCCCCTCTTTTCTCTCCTCCTCCCTCTCCCCTGCCTCCCCCTTCCTCACCTTTTGATTTTAAAGGACTAAATTGCCATTAGAATGGCTCAGAGAACTGAGGCACTCACCTCCTTAGGGTGTAGATGGAGAGAGCTGACTCCCTCAGGCTGCCACACAGGCATCGGCTTGCATGTGCACACACACACACACACACACACACACACACACACTAAACTGGGGAGAGGGGAATCAAACACATTTTTAAAACCCACCAATTTTTTAAAGGATTCATCTTCACTGACAAATTGCTTTTTGGACATCAGTTTAAGTTACCTATTCAGACAGCTCAAACATAATGAATTTAATCTTTGGAGAACAGAAGGGAGGGTAGAAACAAATCCAGCAGGACCTTAACTTTTGCACCATTTTTGGTTTCTTTTTCACATCATGCTAGCGTAGGAACACACTTGACTTCTGCCTCGGAAACAGTGCAGATTGGCACCAGTCAGCTGAATGAATCTCACCAGCTGTCTGCCCTGGGGTCCAGGCGAGCTTCTTGTTCAGTGCGGAATCTCAGATGGTTTAAGTAGCGTACAGAGACTGCTAATTTGTCTCTCATGAACTGACAGAGATGCGACTCCACAGTCACCCTCAGCAGCCTGAGTTCTCTTAGACCTGGGGTTCTCAACCTGTGGGTCACGATCCCCTTGGCAAACCTCTATCTCTAAAAATATTTACATTACAATCCATAACAGTGGCAAAATTGCACTTAAGAAGTAGAAACAAAAATAATTTTACGGTTGAGGTCACCACAACATAAGGAACTGAATAAAGGGTCTCAGCATTAGAAAAGCTGAGAACCAGTGTCTTAGATTTTAGGGACCTTTACTCAGGACAAAGTGGGATCCATGGATCGACACTGGAAGGAATTCCAGGTCTGGCTGGTTGAGTGAAGCAGAACTGAAAGTTTTGTTCAAGCTAATTCAGGGCTGGGGAGAAGGCCCAGCACTTGCTGCTTGCAGAAGGCCTGGGTGTCTCACAACCTCCTATTCCTCCCCCTCAGGGCATCTGATGCCCTCTTCTGGCCTTCTCAGGTCACTGCGCTCACACGTGCAATTGCCTTGCACATAATTCAAAATACATATAGTAAAAATCTGTTTCAATACAGGTTTGCACATGAGGGTTAAGAGAAAGCACAGAGGGTGAGTGGGGTCCCCTCAAGGGTCATAGCAGGAACCATGCCAAGATTATGAAGGCTTTTGAAATTCCATTGCTCAGGGGGTATCTGGGGACCCCACCCTTCTGCCTCTGCTTTCTTCCCTGAGATGCCTTGGATGGATTTACAATCTGGTAAACTCACACTAGAAGCCACTGGGTTGTATAACAGATTTACTATATGTGCTTTTCCTGTAAATGGAGTTCCTAGTCAGATTCCCAGAAAATTGTAGGTTTGTGGGTAGGAAGTCGGTGGTGGGGGAATACGTGATTGCTAATTGTCTGCCTTCTCTGCCTCAGGAGAATTCCAGTGAGGGGCTCCTGTTCTTTCCTCATTCAGTCCAGATCCCCTGCCTCCCGTTCCTGCTTCATGGTGACAGATCTAGATAGATAGATAGATCTAGATAGAATCATAGGGTAAATTCATATACACTTGCACACGAATATCCACAGACATGAATACATATACACACATGAATATATACATACCAACATATACTTGCATGAATATACATTCACATGAACATACACATATGAGTATATATACACATGTAATTCTTTTTGTTCATTGTTTTTTGTTTTTTGTTTTTGTTTGTTTGGTTTTTGGCAGGGTTTCACAACAGTCAGGGTAAAACAGAGAAATACTGTCTTGAAAAAAACCACATCTAATTCTCTGTCCTTCATCTAAACCACAATTCATATTGATCTCCACTCAGCACCATCGTTTACCAGGGAAACAGGGTCCTTTTAGCAGGTTTTTAATCTCATAGATTAAAGAACTTAAAAGTGGCCTGTTGTGGTGGCACACACCTTTAATCCCAACACACAGGAAGAGAGGCAAGTGGATCCCTGTGAGTTTGAGGCCAGTCTGGTCTACAGAGCAAGTTCCAGGACAGCTAGGGCTATATGAAGAGACTCTGACTCAAAGGGAAAAAAAACAAAAACAAAAAACAAACAAGTAAGCAAGCAAAAGAGTTTAAGACCAGATTCCGAAGGAAACTGGAGGACCATGTTATTAGCGCTTAAACGCTATTATCTCCACCTTATTCCCCTCTATATGGTATTTTAAATTTATTTTTAAATGGATAGTATTTTAGTTAAAATTTGTTTACTTTTTTGTAAAAAAAAAAAGTATATATTTTGTATGTGTATATTTGTATGTGCACCATGTGTGTTCAGTGCCCTTAACAGACAAAGGAGGGTGTTGGATCCTCTGACGCTGGAGTTACAGGCAGTTGTTGTGAGACCTCCAGCACGGGCGCTGGGACCCAAACTCGAGTCCTCTGCTAGAGCAGCGTGTGTCTTGACTGATGGACCATCTCTCCAGGCCCTCACGTAGGTTTTGCTGTGTTTTGTTTTTCTAAAGACAGGGTTTCTCTGTGTAGCACCTGTAGTAGAAGACTGCTTGTTTATCTCCTGGCTGCCCAGGCCCAAATAATCACACAGGAACTATATTAATTACAACACTATTTGGCCAATGATTATAGCTTATTCCTACCTAGCTCTTACATCTTAAATTAACTCATTTCTATCAGTTTGTGTATTCCCAAGAGGTTGTGGCCGACCCCTAATGTTTCTAAGGTTCCAGCCTGACCTTCTCCTTTGGCAGCTACATAGTATCTCCCTGACTCCGCCCACTCTCTCTCCTTATCTCTATTCGAATTTCCCGCCTAGGTTCACTCTGCTAAGTCATTGATTAAAACAGTTTTATTTACCAACCAATAAAGCAACACTTATACAGAAGGACATCCCATATCATAACCCTGGCTTTCCTGGAAATTGCTCCAGGCTGGCCTCAAACTCACAGAGATTCACCTACCTAAGCCTTCTGAGTTCTAAAGACATGCGCCACCTTGTGCCTTGTGTAGTATTTTTAAGTCTTAAAGATTCCAGTCATCCAGTGCTTCGTTGCACAAGTTTATGTATTTATTTACAGACTGATCGATTGGTTTTGAGACATAGTTTTGCTCTTTTTTTGAGGCTGGCCTCAAACTCACAGACTGCATCAGCTTCCCAACTGTTGGATTACAGACATGTGATGTTGTTTATGTTCACATCATCTATATTTAACTTTCGTTGTCTGATACAGGTCTCACTATGTAGCTCTGGCTGGCCTGCAGCTTGCTATATAGACCAGGCTGGCCTCAAACTTACAGAGATCTGCCTGTCTCTGCCTCGGTACCAAGTAAGTAGGGTGATTTCCCCAGCTACCTGGGTCTCTCTCTCTGGCCTCTCAGCCCTTCTGTCATTTCATGGCTCAGGACCACTCTGTTTTAATCAGAAAGCCGTTACAGTATGCCATGGTAGCTGGGAGATTCAGACCTCACGGATGGGTATCTGTTTCAGATTCCTGGCTCTTCTTACCTATTTATTCATCTGTGTTCGGTTTAGTGACACTCTTCAATCTAGAAAATAACTTATTTTGCCATTTGTATTGGAGTTACACTCTGTATATAAACTAGTGTGTGTGTGTGTGTGTGTGTGTGTGTGTGTGTGTGTGTGTGAGAGAGAGAGAGAGAGAGAGAGAGAGAGAGAGAGAGAGGTCTTTTCCAATAGCAAATAGACAAGAGGGGGGGAGGGAAGGGTTTTTTTTTTAGACAATTGTTTACTTGACAGGAGGTCGAAAGTGGACATTGGATCCCCTGGAACTAGAGTAACAGATGTCTGTGAACTGTCATGCATGTACTGAGAATCAAACCCAGGTCCTCTGGAAGTGCAGCCAGTGCTCTTAACCTCTGAGCCATCTCTCCCGCCCTGGCTACTACCTGTCTTAGTCAGGGCACTATTGTGGTGATGAAGCACCAAGACCAAATGGAGCATAGCAAGGACGTTTATTTGGCTTCTGCTTCCACATCACTGGTCATTATTGAAGAAGTCAGGTCAGGAACTCAAACAGGGCATGAACCTGGAGGCAGAAGCTGATGCAGAGACCATGGAGGGGTCTTGCTCGCTCCTTATGGCTTGCTCAGCCTGATTCCTTATAGAACTCAGGACCAGCAGCCCAGGGGTAGTACCACCCACACTGGGTTGGGCTCTCCCACATCAGTCACTAACTAAGAAAACGCCCTATAGCTTGCAGCCCCATCTTAGCATTTGCTCAGGTGATGGTCCCTCTTCTCTGATGCCTCTAGCTTGTGTCAAGGTGACACAAACCAGGCAGCAAAGCACTTTACTATACCTCTATGTAGCAGGCTCTACCACACCGTCTAGGCATGAGGCTTCAAGGTCTTATAATAAATATTTTGCTGACAGGCCCATTTATTTATTTATTTATTTATTTTGGTTTTCACTCTTTTCTTTTTTATTTTATTTTTTCTTCATTTTTTATTGATTTTTATGGAGCTCTACATTTTTCTCTGATCACCTCCCTGCCTCTCCCCTCCCCACTGCAATCCTCCCCCAAGGTCCCCATGCTCCCAATTTACTCAGGAGATCTTGTCTTTTTATACTTTCTACTTCCCATGCAGATTAGATCCTTGCATGTCTCCCTTAGTGTCCTCATTGTTGTTTAAATTCTCCGGGATTGTGGTTTGTAGACTGGCTTTCTTTGCTTTATGTTTAAAAACAACCTATAAGTGAGTACATGTGATAATTGTCTTTCTGTCTCTGGGTTACCTCACTCAAAATAATGTTTTCTAGTTCCATCCATTTTCCTGCAAAATTCAAGCTGTCATTATTTTCTTCTGCTGTGTAGTATTCCATTGTGTAAATGTACCGCATTTTCCTCATCCATTCTTCAATCGAGGAGCATTTGGGTTATTTCCAGGTTCTGACTATGAAAAACAAAGCTGCTATGAACATAGCTAAGCACTTGTCCTTGTGGCACAATTGAGCATCCTTTGGATATATACCCAAAAGTGGTGTTACTAGGTCTTGAGGAAGGTTGTTTCCTAATTTTCTGAGAAATCGCCACGCTGACATCCAAAGGGGCTGTACCAGCTTGCATTTCCACCAGCAATGCAGAAGTGTTCCCTTCTCCCCACAACCTCTCCAGCATAAGCTGTCTTCAGTGTTTTTGATCTTGGCCATTCTTACAGGTGTAAGATGGAATCTCAGAGTTGTTTTGATTTGCATTTCTCTGATGTCTAAGGATGTTGAACATTTCCTTAAGTGTCTTTCAACCATTTTAGATTCATCTGTTGAGAGTTCTCTGTTTAGGTCTGTACTCCATTTTTTTTATTGGACTATGTGTTCTTTTGGTGACTAATTTCTTGAGTTCTTTGTATATTTTGGAGATCAGATCTCTGTCTGATGTGGGGTAAGTGAGACAGGTCCATTTATTGCATAGTGTTTATTTTTTATTTTTGTTTTCTAAAGATTTATTTAATTTGTATACATTGTTGTGCCTGCGTGTATGCCTGCACACCAGAAGAGGGTGCCAGATCTCATTGTAGATAGCTGTGAACCTCATATGTTTTCTGGGAATTGAACTCAGGACCTCTGGAAGAGCAGCCATTCCTCTTAACCTCCGAGCCATCTCTCCAGCCCAAGGTTTATTTTTTTAAATTTATTTATTCATGTACTTTATGTATACACCAGAAGAAAGAATATGATCCAATTACAGAGGGTTGTGAGCCACCATGTGGCTGCTGGGAATTGAACTCAGGACCTCTGGAAGAGTAGTCAAGTGCTCTAAACCACTGAGCCATCTCTCCAGCCCCACAAGGTTTATCTTTTTAATTGTGTGTCCACATGTGTCCTTGTGTAGGAATGTACACGTGAGTGCAGGTGCCACAAAGCGCAGAAAGAGGCAGCGAATCCCCTGGGTTTGGAGTTCCAGGCAGCTGTGGATGCCTAACTGGGTGCTGGGATCCAAAATCAGGTCCTCTGGAAGAGCAGTGTGCGCTCTTAACCCGTGAGCTTTCTCTGTAGCCCTGGTTATTATTATTACTACTTCAATTTCATTTTCTCTTGTTGGATTGGGACCTAGACGTTGTGCCTCCTGGGCAAGCTGGAACCCCAATCCTCTCTGCTCCTCCAGAGGGGTTAACTGTACGATGCAGGCAGGGTGAAGCCACAAAATGAACCTAAGCTAGGCTGAGTTGACCTGGGGCCGACTTGGACTTGGGACCAACTTGGGCAAAGGACTTTCCTGCACCTGTGTTGTTTTCTCTCCTGTTCAGTGAATGTGGAGACCAGCCCCGCAGAACTGTAGTGACAGGGCAGCAGGGGCAGCAACTGTCGCTCTGCAGACCTGAAAAGCAGCAGTGGTGGTCCCCGCAGCACCCTCTCCCAACACCACCTGCTGGTCCGAGAGCTGCTCAGAACAGAACACAGGGAAAGGGTCGACCCCCGACAAATGCACCCTTCAGGCATCCTCCTTGGAGGTCACCTAAGGGCAATGCCCTGTGTCCTGCCCAGCTGCATCTCGAGCTGCCCTCGACGCTTGCATTGCCCTAGGCCACTTCGTCCTGCTCAGCCCTGCACCCGATTGTGCTTTGGAGCGATGGATCGGCTCCACTCTGCAGAAACGCTGCCCAGAGACATTACTCCAAAGCAGGCCATGGGGCTCTATCCATCCCAAATTTCCCCGGACTCACACTTGTCATGTGACTCCTCTTCTCTCCACAAGGGGAGGCAATGAGCGCTCTGGCGCTCCTCTGCCGCCCCCTGTCGGCTGGAGTCGCTACTGCACTATCTAAGCCACTCCCAGGCTCTTTGGTACATTACATCTAAAAGGTTTTGCTGTTGGTGGGGTGTTTGTTTGTTTGTTTGTTTGTTTTCTTTAGTGTCATTTTAGATCCCAGAGTACCGAAGACAGAGTATGAAAAGTAAGGTAACATGAAATGCATTGTTGGTGTCTATGTGTGTGGTTTGAGCTAGTAATGAATTCCCAGAGAGCTCCCAATCCTCTGGCTCCTCACAGCTGTTCCTTGGGACTCTCCAAGGGCTTGGAACCTGTTTGAGTCCTGGGAGATGGATGGGGACACCGGAGGAGCCCTGCCACCCTATGGTGTGCATGATCAGGAGAGTCCTGAAGACGAGCTGGTCAGTTCTTCTCTTTCGGGTTCTCTGGACGCTGGTACAGCCGGATGATGCCTTCATCATGAAGCTGTTTCCATACTGTTTTCTCTAACTGGAAGTCATGGTTTATGTAAAAGATCAGGCGTTGCCACGTCTTATCATAATAGTGGTCAGAGAAGCGCTCGTGGCCCTGGGTGATGAAGCCATAGGCACTCACCTGCATAGAGATGGGGGAGGAGCTGGAACTGCCCTGGCTGTGTCCTGGGGCTTCTGTCATAGGAAGCCCCTTTATCCTTTATCCTGGTTCTGTCCCCAGGGGTCTGCATGCAGGTTCCCCGGAGACACATGCATGCCCATCCCACTCCACATTCCCATTGGAGGTTTTCAGCCACCCCCTGAGCTGAGCTCCACAACCTTACCTGGTCACAGAGATGGAGGGCTGTCAGCAGCAAGAGGGCACCAGTGGTGGGGCGGTATATTCTCCAGTGGGCAGTGTTTAGGGTCTTTGACCTCAGAAACCTGCTCAAAATACGCAGATGCGCACTGTCAGGAGACAGCGAGGCCGAGAGGGCACAGCCCCTCCGTGGGCTTTCAGCCCTCACCTGTTCTTCATGTAACGGATAAAGTCTGGGTGCAGCAAGAGGTACCTGTCCATGTCCAAGGCGTCCCGGAAAGCTTCCTGGGGCCTGTGCCTGGAGTCAGGGAAGGATCACTCAGGACCTGTTCTCTTACCCGGCCTGTTGGGGGCCAGGACGGGGTCATGGTGTGACCTCTACCCCATCTCCAGGTGGCACAGAGACAGCCCCACCTGTCTAAGTCTTTTGAAGTCGGCCAGTGACTTCTCAGTCTGGCCTGGGCTTTGGGTCAGGAAGGGAAGCGGTACCTGAACCAGTGAAGTTTGGTTTTGGCCATGGTCTGGTTCAAAAACATGGCTTCTAGCCACTCGTAGTCTCGAGTGCCCTCCAGGAAGTGTAGGTACCGGACGTCCTGAAGACCAAGGACAGCAAGTGGTTCAGCAGTGCTGTGCTGGGGACCGTGGGCTGGGCGTGACACCGCTCGGTTCCAGACTGTCCCCTGGCTATGCTGTGGCCTGAGTGACCGTTCCCACTGACTTGTCCTCCTATGGCGACCCAGATTCCATCCACACACAAGGCATTCACCTCTCTGTCACTCCCTCCTGCAGAGGCTGTGTGGCCACGCCCATTCCCCCTCTTCTCACCTTAACCAGAGGCTGTGTGGCCACGCCCATTCCTCTCTTCTCACCTTTCCCAGAGGCTGTGTGGCCACGCCCATTCCCCCTCTTCTCACCTGTCCCAGAGGCACATGCTGGAAGCCCCGACTGCCCAGTGTGAGGATTGACTGGACCAGGGAGAAGGCAGTGAAGCCATAGAAGGACGTCCGGGTCCCCACATCCTGTTCATAGCCTTTTATAACGGCTCCACTCAGTCTATATGGAAAGACCAAAGTGGATGGCAGGGATGGAGGGGAGAAAATTGTGGAGGTGGGTGAGAGAGGATAGGGCGGGGGGGGGGCAGGAGTTGGAGACACACTCCGCTTTCTAAATAAAAGCATTGGGACACTTGTCTGCTCTCCCATAATAGTCCCTATGGACAGGCACGAGGCTGGAGGTGGAGAACATACCGGAAAACATAGTCATGGCTGTC